ACCTGCTGGTGCCATTTGTTATGTGAGCCCATCCTCACATTCTGAACCAGCCTGTGGAGGACAGGATGCCCAGGGGTGCTCAGGGATGCCAGGTGGGTCCTGGGATGAGAGGGTGGAGCTGGTGTTCAGGTGCCCAGCATCAGGGCTGACAAAGGACCCTGAAAAGGTGGTTCTAGAACCCCCAGAACTTCCCAGGCAGACTCTGGGCATGGCTCTGGGCACCTGCATCCTATACAAGGTCCCAGGGACCTCAGATGTACCCCCAAGCCTGACCCGTGCTGTGAGGCATGGGGAGCCTCAAAGGTTCCCCATAGGTGAGGCAAGAACAGAGCTGGATCAGGAAAGGGAGCGAGAGGCTCTCTCTCCTGGGACAGATCCTGTCTCAGGATCAAGTGCAGCCCTTCGGAAAACTGGATGGGAGATGATGAAGCACCCCCCTCAAGACATGGGGGAAAGTCACAACAGTCAAAGAAGCAAAGTACGCAACAGACTATTTTCTGAGCAGTCACACCACATCTCTTATTAAATAGGGACTCATCAGCAGCTTATGCTGACTTGGAGGGGACAGAGGGGCTGCCATCCTTTAAAACCACTTCTAGGGCCTGGGGGCAGGGAGGTGACAAAGGGCCATCATCCACTGTGATCCCTACCTCCCAAAGAGACAGCAGATGTTTGAACAGCCCAGTCAGTACAGGGTCCTCCTGGGAGAAGGTGGTCAGTGATGAGTGCCATGGGAAGGGGGTGACCAAGCAGTTGGTGGTCTCTGAGTGTCCAGCCAGCTCAGGCCCCTGCTATTTCAGGACTCTGAGGATGCATACCAAAGAAGAGGGGGCGCCCCTCTGTTAGCACACAGAGGCTGCTTTTCCAGGAGGTGTGGGTGCCTGTCCAGTGGAAGGCACCTGGTGATGACCTTCCCTTCCCCTGGAGGGGACTCTAACTCCCCTCTGCCACTCTTCCACAGAGCAGGTACCAGGCTGCCTCCCCCTAACCTGGGAAGGTTCCTGATGACTGGGACAGGCCCTCACCCTAACCTCATAGGGCACTCCAAGAAGGAGCTTTCCTCATAGTGGGTGAGAAACATCAGGAAGGCCATTCCCCTTTGAAATGGTAAAACAAAACGTGATAGGGAAGCCAAAGAGGAATCCAGGCCCTGCAGAGAGAGCAATTGTCTCTGCAGGCAAGAACTTATTCTAGACCCTGGGTGAAGACAGGGGGCAGGACTGGTTCCATCTTAAACATGATCTGAATCCCAGATGGGGGATGAGCAAGTTGTCCTCTGTAGGTGAAAGGCCTCTGTGAGTTGCAGAGATGTCCCTGGGAACAATGGCCTGCACTGCTGTGGGCCAAGCCTTTATCTTCAATCCAATCAATTCTTAGATGACCTCTCTGCAGCCTCTGGGCTCCACCCCACTGTGGCCTGCTCCCCTACATCTTCCTGCAGCTGTGTCCTGTCTCCTCTGAGCATAGGGGAGCTAGCCCAGGGCAGGACACTGCTGACATCTGGGAGCCCCGAGCCATGGAGCCTGAACAAGGAACCAGAGAGGAAGACTCTTAACTATAGTGATGGACAATTCTGCGGAGCCGTGTGGTTGAGCAGGCTCCCAGCTCTCCCCTTGGCCTGCCCTGTCCAGTCTGGATCCATGTGGACATACCGTGATGCCTGCAGCTCCCCGAAGGATGGAAGACGTCCCAGCTTCACCAGGAGGGAGTGGGACATGGTGGGTGGAAGACCTGCTCTCAAGGTAAGAGAAGTCAGATGAACTTGGGTCTGAGACCTGGTTTGCCCATTTGCTCCAGCATGAGGTTCTAAAAAGGCCTGAGCGTAAGGCTCCATGGGTGTCCTGCCCAGATCCTTGTCAGCATTCACTGACATGCGTATGTGCGCTGCTCACACTCTGACCCTGTGGTCCCAAGGATGGTTTTCCTGGCACCCAGAAGGATGCCGCACAAGCAAGAACTTGGGCTGGCGGGGAAATGCATAACCTGCTTCTCCCTGTGGGGTGGGGGCTCTGCGCATGCCCTCTGCAGCCTCCCAGAGGTCTGAGCCTCAAGGCACGGTATCAACAGCTCACAGACACCTGTACTGGCATCTGCCAGTCCCTGGTCACTTTCCTGAGTGATCGCTGTCACCCCCGCAGTAAACCCTTCCCCTACAGCCCTGCCTTGGGGGAAGTCAGTCTCCAATACCACTCCGCCCCTCAGGTTCTTCCTCCAGGAGAGGGGTGGTGACCACATCAGATGCACAGGTGGTGAAGAATGAATGAAGACCACCCTGTGCAGGAACCTCTGGGCCACAGCATCCAGTGAGCACCTGTGGCTTCCATCCTGCTTATTCATTCACCCAGAAGCAGGGTAGCTCTTAGATGACGGCACAGACCCATGCATGTGAGTTAACAAGACCCACACGGGCTGTGGAGACAGACATCAGGGCCTCCCTGTCACTGCCCCACCTCGGACCCCACTGGTCATGAGGGATGATGCAGAGTGGGGTTGGCCAAAGGCAGAGAAGCAGCAGGTGGGTTCGATTCTGGGGGTTCAAGTAACATGGCTACAAATGGGAATCTTAGGACAGTGAGCTTCAACTGAGATGTGCGCTCATAGCCATGGCAGCCGCCTGTCCTGCCCCCTTGCCCAGGTCCCTGGACAGCTCACGTGGCAGAGGGTCTGCTTTGTTTTCAACTTCTTCACAGAGGCTGAAGGGACCCGTCTGTGAAGGGTACCTATGTTCCAAACTGTCCTTTTCTTTGAGATCGTGGGAAAGTCCCCAAAGCCAGTAACAACAGGCTCTGCTCCCCATGCCAGAGGATTATAAAAGCAAGCCCCCACATTGTCACTGTGGACTGGGGTGGTTCACAAAGGGAGAGGTCACACCTTAATGCCAGCACTGTGACATGGACACCACAGGCTGTGACTCCTCAGTAGAGACATTGTCTGTAATGCAAATAACCAATCAGAGTCGGTGAGTGGTGTTAAAATGCATTTATCCCCCTGCACATTTCTGCCTCTCAGGGTGTCACTTTTATAATAATTACATAAAGATTTCTACTTGTTTGCACCACAGATAGGAAAGCAGGGAATATCTCACCCAGAAGGGAAGGGACAAGTCAGTCACCTCCCAAGCTGGGTTGTGAAATCAAGATTGTGCCCTTGGTGGAGCTGCTCTGGTTTTGAGTAGTGGAGGTTAGAGGCTGGTCCCTCTACTTGAGAGAGAGAAGGAGGAGAGGCACTGTGACCTATAGGCCAGGCTCAGGATCAGAGTCCCAAGTCTCTGTGTTTCAGGCACAGTCAACTTAGGGAAGCTCTTCACTCCACCTGCGTGGCTGTGCAGGCCCACTCAGACCAGCAGTTATTTACCACAACAAGGGGAGCAGGAGCCCAGAGTGTGTTACACGGCAGGCAGCTCTGAGAGCTGTGGAATTCCTGGTATACATCCAGGGATGCTGTGAACAAAATTCTACAGTCGGGCGGGGGCCTCCCCTGGCATTTGCCGGAGTCCCTTCACCATGGTGGGTCCTGCTTCCTGCAGCCCTGACTTCCCAGAAGCTGGGATCGTCAGACCTTGAACCTAGCCCATTGCACTGTCCTGCTCTCTCAGGAGGTGGCAGGAAGCCAGTGTCGGGCATTCTACGAGCACAGTTCATTTTCAAAATCACTCCGCAGACATTAGCACATCCATCTCTATAATGTGCTCACCGTGGTGCTAATGCAGAGGCCTTGAGCTCAGAGCAATTAAGTGATTTGCCCTGGTTCACAGGAGGGATGCAGGAGTCAGCATCTGGGAGGCCAACACTCAGTGCTGGGTGCAAATGATGCAAGCCAAGTGTCGGGCTCTGCATTGTAAACAAATCCCCAGTGCAGGGCAATGCAAGGCACACATCTGACACGGCGAAGACATGAACACCAAACACATCCCCTCATCCCCAACCCCCAAGACAGGGCAAGGAGCACAGGTGATGAGAGCAGATACCATCCGGCTACTTCTCAAGGCCCCTGAGCCCCTCCCAGCCCCAGTGATGGCATGGCGCCATCTTGGAAAGCTCACCACTGTCGGTCCAATGGGACTGCTCCCCGCTGCAGGTCCTGTGGAAGCCCAGGGCTGGAGGGAACAGGCCAGTGGGCTCGTCCAAGGTGCAAGACTGGGCCCAGCCCACAGCTGGGCGACGGGAGCGGGGAGGAGCCCCAGAGACTGCCCTCCTGGTTGGCACAAGGGGCACTAAAAAGGGGATGGTTCCATCAGCATAGTTGTTGGGGAAGTGGAATGGAGGCAAGGAGAGAGCAGGGGGAAGACCCCATGGTTTTCCTCCCCCATGCCATCACCATCCCTCGCCTTCATGGAGGTGCCTGCACCTTCCAATAAGCACATCTAAATGAGCTGCAAATGTACCTAACTCACCAGCTCACTTGCAATGGCCACGTCCACTATTGGACACATCCTCTGCTGGGCACTTAGCAAACTTCCCTACCTAATTTCTTTACTGTTTTTGTAGGTTTATTCCAACTTTATTTTTTAGAGCAGTTTTGATTTTGCTCACAGCAAAATCGAGAGGAAGATACAGAGCTATCTTCCCCCCCCACCACATGCACAGTCTCCCCCCGTGCCAACCTCTCCCAGCAGAGCTGCTGACCCCCAAGTCCACAGTTGACATTAGGGTTCACTCTTGGGGCTGAATGCTCTATGAGTTTGAACAAATGTCTAAAGAGATGTATCAGCTTTTATCAACCTTTGGGAAGTTGGGTGGGAAACCCTAGACACAATTTCCAACACGGGTTACACATGCTGCTTCTTACCCACCCAGACCCCACATTGCTGATGTTCCTGTGGACAGAAGGCTTGCGACAGGAACTGTCAGGAGAGGTGAAAGTGCTGTCCAGCGCGAGGGTCTCTGTGAAGTTTTGCTAACAGTGGGCTCTGCACCAATCTCAGGAGGATTTTAGAAAGTTGGAGAGCCCCTCCTGAGCCAAATGCTATCCAGCCATGGTTTCTCACCATGCCCACTCACCAATGTCGGTTTCCTTGTGGTTCTTGATATATTCTGCCAGTTCAAAGTTGCCTGCGATGATTGCCACCTGCAAAGCAGAAACCACACGTAGGTCAGTGTCAGCTGCAGAACAGCGGGTTTTTATAAACTTGACATCACCGAAGGCCAAACTCCATGGGGCTTCAAGCAGCAGCCACAACAATGGCCACTCGTATCGTCCCCAAACACAGCACGGCTTCTCCCAGAGCCCCTGGCTGTTTAGCATGACAAAGTTATCATTTCTACTATGGCCTGTGTGCGCCAGGGCTTCTGTCCAGAGGTTTTGAGGGACAGTATCCACAGCAGCAGCAAAGTCAGCCAGGCCAGAGCCTGGATCCCCACCGCCACACCACCACGGGCTGTGACCTGCATTCATTCCCAAAGGTCACTGTGCCCACTCGTGCCCGGCAGCCCCGCCTTTCTGGTTAGATCAAGCAAGTCTCCATAACTGTACAGAAAGGGAAACCTCAAAACAGTATTTAAAGCTCACCAAGGTTCTGCTCAGCATAAAACCTTCCACCCACAGCTGTGTGCACAGCTAGGTGGGTGGCATCAGAAACAAGACCTGGTATTTAAAGCAAAGACATCACACGATGCACGGCACACGGGAGCAGCCAGGTAGGCAAAAACAAGTGCCCTGGGGATGACTGGGAGCCTCAAAGAGAGGCCAGAACCAGGCCATATGCAAAGAGTTCACAGAGCCTGAGCAGAGACCTTGGCTCCAAGTCTGTGTGAGTGACGCCATCCCAGAGACAAACACATCTCCAGTAAGTTGACACCAGGTGGCAAGGTAGGTGGACCTTTGCCAGTCAGTTGGAGGGGTCAGGAGCAAAAGCCCAGGTTCTGTGAATAAGCACCCTCTGGTTTGCCGCATCTTACAGTAAAGTGCTTGATTTTCTATGTGCACACATGCCACTCAGACGTTCCTTGACTTGGGGTGGGATTACACTGCAATAAACCCATCCCAAGCTGCTAAAAATATCCTAAATTGAGAAGTCATTGAGTGCCCCTAACCTGCTGGGTGTCACAGCTCAGCCACACAGCACACTGCAGTGCTGGTGACTCCCCGTCCTGACCGTGCCTCTGATCCGAAGAGACTGCCCAGTGCTGTAGGCGAGGACAGTACTGCACGCTGCAGCCCCAAGAAAAGGTCATTTTTTTTGTTTTTTGGTGGTACTGTGCTCTTGAGCCACCCACAGCCCTTTTACTCTTTTGTTATTTTTTGGATAGAGTCTCACGGCTGGCCTGGAGCATGGTCCTCCTACCTATGCCTCTTGTGTAGCTACAATGACAGGTGTTCACCACCATGCTGGCTCATTTGTTGAGACGGGGTCTCGCTAACTTTTTATCGGGGCTGGCCTCCAACTGAGATCCTCTGATCTCCGCCTTCTGTATGGCTGGGATTAAGGTATGCACCATTGCATCTGACCTCAAATTTCAAAAGTTGAAGAACAGTTTGCACAAAACACATATTGCGTTTACACCATTGTAAAGCTGAAAAGTGTTAAGCCAAACCTTTGCAAGTCGAGGACTATCCTGCATCTCTCTCTTTTACACACATACAATGCATTTGAGTCCCTCCCCGGTACGGAGGACTACCTACACTGACATTAGGTCTGGGGGAGGCGTGCTGTTGTAACAACTACCTAAAAATGTGCAACGATTTTGAAACTGGATTATGGTTCTAGGAGGCGAGGGTTTGTAGGTGCCTGGTAGAAATACGATGACTAAAGTGATTCTGGTAAGATCTCAGCTGGAAAGGAGGAACACACAACTGGAAATTTCGTGTAACTGGGACTGGTGAACCTTGTAGTGGCGAAGATCTAGGCTCATCCAAGTTCCAGAACTGTGGGGAAGGCTGACCCCGAGGGTGGTAAAACTGGGCGTTTAGCTGAGGAGAGCTCTAAGCAGTGTTGAAGGAGCGGCTGGTCCTCCCGCCTGCGAGAGTAAAATGCAAAGGAGAGAGATGAATGGAGAAGGAACTGTCAAGCAAAAGGGAACCTAAGCTTGAACATTTGGAAATTCTCAGCCTATCCATACGGAAAAAGTGAGGAAAGCCAATCCATACTGCAAAACAGGAACACCAAGTACATGGCTGGAATGTCACTGCATCAGGACTCACACGGTTATGGAAACAGAGGACAGCCAGTGAACTGAAGGGGACAGAAATGGGACAAAATGAAGACCTGCCAGGTCTGGCAGGATGGGATGGCAGTGCTGCTGGCTGTGAACATGCACTATACTTCAAAAAGAGGGGAACAGGACCTTGAAGGTAATTCAGAGCCTGCAGGGGTCCTGAGCTTGGTTTCAACAACCAGGTGGCCTCCCCCATGGCCTAGTGGACATATTGCTGGACAGAGCTGGGGGAGGGGAAGGGCCACCCAGAGACTTGGAGGTGGGACTCAGAGCAATGGAGGCAATGCTGCAGTCCCAGTGTGCCTAGAAGACAGCATCAAACCAAAGAGGACTTTTCTCCAGCCTGAACATTCCATGGTGTTTGCCTTGGTAGGTTTGGGACTAGGTGGAACCCATCGCCCCTTTCCTTTTAACCATTTCTTCTTGTGGACCAGAATCAAATCCGCCCTGAAGAACTTGCGGATGTCTGGAAAGATGAATCAGGCCTGTGGAGGACAAGGGTGGAGGAGCCCTTGGAAGGTGGCCAATGACCAGCTGGAGTCACCTGCTGGCCCTGGAGTGCAGGCCCCTCTGGGAACCACCTGTCACTATAGGTCCCCAGTCTCCAGACCTGCTTCTGCTGGGCGTGAAGGTGGGAAGGCAGGTGTTTGGAGCAAGCACGCAAGCCGCTTCTGATCATGGACAGAAGTCTGGTAGCCTATGGCCGGCCCTCTCCCCTCAGGTCTCCTTGGACTTAGCTTCTAGATCTCGTTCTGGGCCTGCCCCACTGAGCTACACGCTGCCTCCTCTGGGCCTCTGAAGCTGTGCAGGGCATGACAGCGCCAGGCCCCTCTTCCCACAGGGCAGTGCATCTCCAGCCATTCTCTCAGGTCAAATGCCCACTGTGAAGCCAGCAGACAGAGGGAGAGCTGCCACACGGGGGAAGGCCCAGGCCATGACAACCTCAGGATTTCTGCATGCAAACACACACTGTGCAGCACTGGGCACTGGGACCTCAGCTTTCTCATCTGTGAAGTGGGTTGGTGGGGGGACTCAATGAGATTGGAGGTGTCAGGGTTTAGGCAGTGCTGGGCATACGGGGAGCCCTGAAGTTTGGCATGTTATTGCTGCCATCGGAGTGACTCTCGAGACAGCGGTGCAGTCACTGAGGTCACCTGAGCCCCATATATGTGCACAGTCACACACTCCCATGCTGCCCTCAGGCAACCGTTGCTGGGAATGACCTGAAAGAGGCCCATCCGTAGCTCATGCTCCTAAAGAAAAGCTTTAGGTGCTCTCAACCTAGCTACCAGGGCCAAGGTCACTGCGCTGCCTGGGTCAGAGTAATTCTGCCCGGGATGCAGAAGAGAGCAATGCAAGCGTTTATTTCCTATAATTGCCTGACAGTTTCTCCCGGATCACCTTGAGGTCAGGAAAGACGGCTTAGGCAGCACACAGCCACCTGCCTCCTCCATCAGTGTGCTCTGTACTTGGCCCATGGCAGTTCCCATCAGTGTCTTATGGAGGAGGCGAGGGACAGGTCTGGTGGTGACATGTCAGTGCTGGGCAGCTGGCTGTGGCTGCTGGCTGGCTGGACAAAGAAGTCAGGATGTGGGGGCTGGACCGATTTGATTCAGGCACTCTCAGCAGCGTTTGCCAACAGCCGTGTGACTATCTTAAGAGCTCCCTATGTACCGCGTGCCATTCGACTGCTCTGCAGGCATTAACCCTTCTACATGCACCACTCTCTGAGATGGGCACCCATGTCTCTAGACAGAGGAGGAAACAGAGATGCAGAGAGGTTAAGTGACTTGCCCAACATCACAGAGCTAGTCAGTACCAAAGCCAAGACATTCACTCAAGCTATGCAGGCCTGGAATCTTCACCTATCTAACACACGCAGAATATATCTGGACACGAGTTTCATTGATCACAGCATGTTTGAAGGATGGGTGTGCAGCATCTGTTCTTGTGATCACTTGGTTATAAGTCCTCTAGCCTTGACCTGGCTTCCCTGGAATGAAGACCCTGGGAGGTGTATACTGGGGACCCTTTGCCAATGGTGCTGACTGACGCCCCCCAGGGGCCAACACTGACCTCCCCCTGCAAGGAGAATGAAGGCAGACTGTACTTGATCCTGATCCCAGGGCTCCCTGGGAACTTAGCCCTTCACATTCAGGACCACAGGGCATCTTGAGAATACAGGAATGTTACAGAATGGTCACACCTTCCCCTGCTACGGTTCCCCTGGTGGGGCAGGAAACTGCTCATCCAGCACTGCCCGTGGGGTCTCCTGCAAGGCACAGTGCCTGGGAGGGGAAACCCGAAGAGAGCAAGACCCTGCTTCACAGAATCAACTGGTGTGGGGAGAAAAGGGAGTCTTGATCTGTTTTCGTAACTCAGAAATTGACAAGCCCGCTCTCTCTGGCACCTCGAATGTTCACACTTGACACTGATTTAGTCTCATGCTCTTCCAAGCACATCTTCAAAGTCTGGAATGTGACAAGCACAGCCTGTCGGGAAGTTAGGGTTGAAGAAAAACAATCACACGGCTGGAAAGGGCCTAACTCGGCCTCATCAGGAACAGCAAGACCAGGCCTAGGAGGAGAGGCCGGGTCCCCGAGTCTGCCACCCATGCCACGCCTGGCTACTGTCTGCACGCCTTGGCTCCTAGACCTCTGCTGTCCTGACCTTGCATCATGGCATCGTGACACACCCATATCCCAGGTTGACCCTGGCAGAGCAGGGAGGAAACAGCACAGGCAGGTCCCCCCGACACTTGGATCTGTTGAGCCCCAAGTCCTCCTCATACCCCAAAGCAGCTCGTCAACACTGCCTAGAAGGGTGGAGACTCATTCCAGAGCTGCACCCCAATTCCCTGTTCTGCCCTCTGTGGCCAGCGCTCATTCAGTCCTCTGGTCTGCACTGGATCCGAGTAGTCTTCCCATCCCCAGACCCTGTGCCTGCCCCATCAAGGACACCTTGGGGTTTCCTGGGGCAGACGCTGGGACCAGTTCATCTCTCTCTGACTCTGTGCCCCTAGTGCACTGCACCCCACACATCCAGGGAACAAGTGACTCATGGATGAGGCAGCGAGGAGGTTTGGGCCCCACCACTGGGGGCACCTGATGACTGTGCTGGCAGGTCTTTTGCACAGGTCTGCTGGATGCACAGGGGCCTGGTGTATTCAGGGAGCCCATGCAGGCTGGGGGCCATGAAAATGCAGTGGCCAGAGCTATTCACTTGGTGCTCCACAGGTGG